AATATGGAAAATGCCCATTTATCCGGAGACCAGATACAAGAGCCCAAAGAATGCAAGGTTATATGAGTAGGCCTTGTGTGACCTAAAAAATATTTGTTGCCTTCCTAGTACTACCAAGCACCTCCTCCTTTAGGACTCCATAAGTGCATAGCTCTCCCCAGCTCCGGGTTGGAGCTTTCATTCCAGAGCTCCAGCTCCAGCTGCCTCTAATCTTACCTTAGTAAGCCTGTACTTGAGCGGCTAAGCCTGAGCGGGCTAGTCGATGGCGAAATTTCCAGCTTAGTGCGACGCCACTCCAGTCTTTATTCCGTTCCAAGGTGGGGCACCGGCCTTTTCGAAGCAGGCGAGGTGAGATACAAAAATTAGATACAGAAAATTTTTGTCAGAGCAGTGGCAACTGGAAGTAAGCATGCGGCTGATTCCACGCTTAAGGAACAAAGAGTAGCAAAAAAACCATGCACTTGCAAAAAGGGGCTTCTTTGTATGGCTGAGTTTGAGTGTGAGCGAACCTCGGAAGCATCGCTCCTCCAGTTTGGTGGCTGGTGTGGACTGGAGAGGGGCGTCGATGCCCAATTCGTCCTTGAGCGAAATTCCAGTTGCCGTATATTCCCGTTACTTCTTTGGCCCTACGTACTCCCGTCCGTAGGCTATGGTTTACTTTTCGATAGTTTACGAATTACGACGATGGAGTACTTCGCTTAGGGACCCAGGCTTGTGTTCATAAGGTCTAACAGTATTAATCTAGAAGAACGTGTGGCAGTTTCTAGTTCCAATCAGGTGCATATGTACCCCTCAGCAAGGATGTTTTCTATTGTTTTTAGTTCCAAACCAATTTATTACCCGCATAGCTGGAGGACTGGAGGTACCTTACTCCATAGTGTGGTTCACTATGAGTACGTGAAGGTAGATATGATATGGAAACCAGATAAGCGACTAGATATCAAGAAATTCTTAAGAGAAGGTAAAGGAACGGTTCTGATATAATTTGTATATCTGATACAAGCCATGTTGAATCACCAGGACCAGGACGAGGATGGGCCGATTATCCGATAGTAATAATGCCGCAGAGCAAACGAAGGTCACAGGTGACACGGTTGGTTATGCAGCTTGAAGCTCTTACTAGCTTAGCTTGCCTACCTAGTCTTGTCGCCCTCAAGTTCAATTCCCAGCTCTCAACAATACCTGAGCAGATGATCTCTACAGACTCTGTTAGACTAGATATCGCTCTTTCAACCTTGCGATTAACCTCTTTCTCGTTGTTTTTAAGGATATCACTAAATCCAACTCCAGGTCTGACAGGCCTGACTATGCGTAATAATGATTACTGCGCGACTCCTGCCGCCTTTGGCCAGTACCTAGTCTAATTCCTGGGTACCTCACTAAGTAAGACTGGAACTAGCCCAATTGCCGTTTTTGATGTGATGCAGCAAGACAAAGCATTGTGATTGGATCATATTTATTTTGTAGGACGTAAAGAACTTAGCTACCCAATCTTGCAGCTTTCCGGTCAGCATAAGGAGAATCTTTACCAGGTCATGATGATCGAGCAGCAGGTCCCAGTAGTAGCAGCTGAACGGAAAGAAGCTATGCTAGAATGACAATCTTGAGCCTGTTGAACATGCTTATAGGTCTCCGCAATCCACAAACAAAGTCTATATCCGCACTGGCCCCGCTTCAATCTGCTTCGCCTGAGGTCATCGGCGTCTTCTGAAGATATTATTTCTCTTAAATGGCTGTGTGTTGTTGCGGGAGTTCTCCGGATGAGTCAATCGAATAGGCCATATCTATGGAGGCGGCATACAATGTCAATAGAATGTTTGGCCCCTAGGCTATGGAAGTGGTCGGATACGGTCCGAGGTCAATGTACAATGGTGCAGTATACATTAAACTGTACAAACCGACCAAGTTCAATTCATCTCAGCTGAACGATGCGTGACGAGGCATTTCAAATCAGGAATTGCTAGTAATCGGTCGGTGTCGTTGTCAACCATCAGCCCATCAATCTCAAAGTGACAATCCCGAACCCACTTCGGATCTCGCAAATCCCCCGGATCTTCAGATTCAAAGATTAGACACGACAACATGAGCACAGTCGGCAATCGTCGAAGTCATAGTAATGATACTGAAGCTTAAATCCTTTTCCGGGCCAGCGCCTGATTAGAACCGACGCTGAGTAAGTATCACTTTGCTACACAGATACGCAGCCCACCGTTAACAAAAGGAGGATGTCCGATGCCCGCATGTGGGTGCTGAGAGCTGCCTTGGATGACAATAACAGCCGATACGCCTCCTCCAGATCCGACTCTCCAGTCCACGCAATTCAAAATGTTAAAGCCATGGAGGGTCAGCGCTGTATAATTGTTCATGATTGAAATGGCTGCCTCGCGTGTAGTCACTCTGGTTGTTAAAGCGACAGTTTCGACTGACCCTCGCCATTTTACCTAGTCTCAATCAGTAGCTCGCCCTTCGGATAAAGACGCGGAAATGACCCCCAAGAAGAACTTCCACGTTGCCATTGTTGGCGGTGGGATTGCCGGCGTGACTCTGGCCATCGCACTCTACCACCGTCAAATTCCTGTGACGATCTACGAGCAAGCCGCTGCGTTTGGCGAGGTAGGCGCAGGCGTCTCCTTCAGTCCGAATGCAGTGGAGGCCATGAAAGTCAGCCACCAGGGCATCTACGAGGCCTTTGAGAGAGTCTGCACGCGGAACCTATGGCCCACGAAACAGAAAGCCTGGTTCGACTACCTAGACGGCTACAACAAAGGCACATCGACCACTGCGAAGAACTCGAGTCGACAGGATATCGCATTCACTATCTCGAACAGCCTCGGTCAGACGGGTGTCCATCGCGCGCATTTCCTGAACGAGTTGATCAAGCTGGTCCCGCGTGAGATATCGCGGTTCAACAAGCGCTTAGAGCGTATCACCGAGAGTGCGGATGGCAAGCTCGTCATGAAGTTCGCGGATGGATCCGAGGATGTGACCGATGTGGTGATCGGCTGCGATGGGATCAAATCTCAGGTGCGGCGCATCATCGTGGGTGATGATCATCCGTCCGCGAACCCGTCGTATACGCACAAGTATGCCTACCGGGGGCTGGTGCCGATGGAAAAGGCTATTGAAGCTATTGGGGAAGAACTGGCCTCTAACTCGTGCATGCATGTCAGTAGTTCATCCTCTATTCTTGTCTGTTAACTGACCGGTTCCAGATGGGCCCCGGCGGCCATGTATTGACGTTCCCGGTTAACCAAGGCAAGACTCTCAACATTGTTGCCTTCCACACCACGCCCGACGAATGGACCGACTACCCCCGGCTGACGAGGCAGGGTACGCGCGACGAAGCTCTTCAGGACTTTGCAGGCTACGGCCCAAACGTCATCAACCTTTTGAAACTGACCGAGGAGAAGCTCAGTGTGGTATGTTTGCCGTATGGAATCATATCGCCGTTGCTAACCTAGACAGTGGGCAATCTTCGATCTAGGCGACCACCCGGTCCCTACCTTCTACAAAGGCCGCATCTGTATCTCTGGTGACGCCGCACACGCAACATCACCGCACCACGGTGCTGGAGCCGGATTCTGCATCGAGGACACCGCCGTGCTGGCTGCACTGCTGGAGGACGAACGGGTTCAGACTCACAAGGACCTCGAGGCTGCCCTTGCTGCTTATGATTCCATCCGCCGTGAGCGGTCTCAGTGGCTGGTGCAGAGCAGCAGGTTTATCGGGAACAGCTACGAGTGGTTGGCTGAGGGCGTTGGCGATGACTTCAAGAAGATCGAAGAGGCGATTAACTACCGGAATGGCATCATTGCCAACGCAGATATTCCCAAGATGTGCCAGGAGGCGAGAGAGCAATTGGGCAAGAGATTGTCTAAGTCGCAAAGGGGGGTTTTATAGTCTCACTTACGGGATCTCATTGACGCTCTTGTATATACATTGCATGTGTTGATTAGAATATGATTCATAAAGTCAAGGGTATATACAATGTGTATAGTTGGATGTCCTTCCGTCCTTGCTGACTTCCCCGTTCCATGTGAGGCTATAGCACCCCATAATGCCTTCCTCTTTTCGTATATAATATGTGTAGTTGAATCCCCCAAATAAGGCTATAGCGCCTCGTCATGCCTTTCTCTTTCGGCTTCTGAGTCTATATCAATAGGGTATTGTGGTCGATCTTTCTACCTCTCACAGCAACGCCATGGAGAATCGCGCATTATCTGTGTAACAATATCAGTATATCATTCCCTTGACAGACAGTCAAAACTGATATCGTACCATCACTCCAGGAGTCAACTTCCGATCAAGCGTTACTTTTCCCCGGACAGAKACTCAGACACAGACGTATCCCTCTCACATCGCGTGGCCGACTCAACCCCATCCCTCGTCCAAAAGGAAGCAATCCACTCCCAAACATAGGGGAACGGGTTCAGCAGCGTCTCCGCCGGACTATACGCGAGACCAGGGTCGTGGGAAAGCATATCGTCAGATCACAATTTGCATTTGCATTTGCCTAGAACCTCAAGAGACTCATAAGAGCATACTCATGAGAGAAGAAATCATTTGGCGCCTTCGGGCTCACTGCGTTTGCAGCCCGTTCTTATGGTATCTTCTCTTGGGAATGAGTGAAAGCGTGAACAAACAATGCAAAAGATGTATACAGCAATTTGCGGGGATGATTGGTGGGCGGGAAGAATGGTGACGTCAATATCTTTATGTTTGGATTGTTTGATCTGTTTGTCGAGAGGGTTGTCTTCTCTGATACGTCGATAAACATACCCCATTACAAATCAAGCAAGAAGACAGTGACTGGATTTGGGATTCCTAATTGAAGCATCTATGCTCAAAACATCCTGCATAGTTCCACCAAGATCATCCAGCATCAATCCTGAAACGGCATGACAAATGACAAATGACAGTCGAAAGGAAACCTGCCTGCTATGTCTGATCCAAGCGTAGGTCCAAACCGACAAGGCTAATTACCAGACCAATGAGCCCTACTAGAGCATTTCTCTGTATGGCAGGAGACGACCGTCCAGATGGCTGAACAGCGCGTATGCAATGGCGCGATGGTCCTCATCAGAGACGGTGGTGTAGAGTTCAGCAAAGGTGCTGAACTTGAGCTTCAGAATGAATCCCCTGTTCTGCTCGCCCAGACGATGAATGTAATCAAGCACTGGTTGAGCGTGCAAGACACCAATGCCGACCAAGTGGAGATAGCGGAGCTTGGGCGCGACGATGTAGTCCCAGATCTCGTCGAGGACTGGAGTCACGTACAGACCCAGCCAGTTGAGGTCCGGGAAGCTGGAGGTAAGAGTTCGAATGTCGGGCAACGTGAGCTGGGCCGACATTCTGCGGAGATTCAGTTTGCGCAGCTTCTTGAGGGGGAATAGGCACCACATGAATAGACTCTTGTCGCTCGTCATCTCCGTGTTGAGTGTTAATTCCTGCATGTTGCGCTGGCGCGAGATGCCGCGGTAGAAAGCGTCAATGATCTTGGGATTATCTTCGTAGTTTTGCTGGACGATGAGGACCTCCAAGGAGACGAGGCCGTGATTGAGGGCATTCGCTAACATCAAGAGTTCATCATGGTAGAGCCAAGTCTCGATCCGGCGCAAATTTTTACATGCACCTAGCCACTTTCCGAACGGCTGAGCTAGCTCAACGCGTTTTTCGTAACCGAGGAAAAAGTGGATGGCTTCGAGGGACTGCAAAGGATTCGATTGCATGAGTTTGACTACCAGCTCCGACCGGAACTTGGGCAATCTCAGCACACGCATAGATTGGAAATGAGCAATCAGACCCTCGACCATGGAAGGCTTGAAGTGCGAATCACGAGAGATTTCGAACCGTTCCAAAGTATTGCGCCGCAGAGCCATGAGGAAATCTCCAGCCGACGTCTCTTCCTCTTCTGTATCACTGTCGGAATCATCAAGAGCGAATCTGGCACTACTAATGGTCGATTCCATCCATTCCCACACGATCAGATTCTTGAACCGGGGACAATGGCGTGCGATGCTGCGCGCATTGTCCTCGTGCAGATGCTTTCCCATATTGTACCAGAGAGTCTCGAGACGGATCAGACGAGGAGCCCACCAGTCGAGAACGGACGAAGAAACTCCCAGATAACGGTTTCTTTCCTCCTCATTATCCCAAGTCTCAGGGCAACTATCACAGACCAAGCTGGTAATTCCAGAATTTGCGGATAAAATGACTTGGGGCTGTCAGCACCTATGGTCATGTCGACTGTCATCGAACACCTACCCCAACCGACGGCAGCACAGATGTTACAATGGTTTTCCAAGCAGATGATTTTGAGATCGAATGCGAAGCGACCATACCGCAACTGGCTACTCCGATATTAGCAGCGATCGCTTGAGCAAGGCCGAGCATAAGCCACTTACTCGGCAAAGGTTTTGTCGAGATGGATCAAAAGCGCAAGATCGCACAAGTCGAGTGTATGAAGGAATTTGGCGTAGGGGAGATAAGTCTCGGAGGTGAAAGCAGACAAGATCAGAGTCCACCAGAATGTGGCCCATGTATTTGGTCTTATGGACTATGTCTCCGTCAGCATACGACCCAGTTGTCTTGCTACTATGCGTCCTTACAATCCTGGAGTGTTCGTATGCAGACGCTCTGTGGACACCCGGAAAGAGAGCCTCAGAGCTATTCCTGTTAGCAACTGTCGGTAACCTCCTGTCTCGATGAACACCTACCGGTACAAAGCACGGAGAGCCGATCTGGACCACTGACGATTAACCAGCGCACACTGGAGGAGCGTATAGAAGTCCTCGGGATCGACATGCGCCACGATCATGTCCACGATCTCAGAGGGAAAATAGACCATCTTGACGACCTCTTATCCCTTTTCTTGTCTCAGAGGGAAGAGAGATATCCAAGCGTCTGATGTCCAAGCGGCTAGAAAACGAAAGGCAGAACCATCCAAGAAGTAGTGGTGTTGTATTTCAGCTGTGTTTGTCTTTGGCTCCTTTCTTTGCAGAGAAAGGAATTTTGAATAAAGCAGGATACATTTTTCTGGATCGTGTGCCCTTTCACTGCGTCGATTAGTCGTCGTAGGGTCAGGGCTGGGCGATTAGTCGTCGGTGGATGGTGCATTCTGAGGTGCATGCCGGAAGATTCTGTACAGCTTTCTCTTCATCATTCGGGTTGAGAGTACACTATCATTCACAGGTTCTCTATCACTAAGGGCCCTTCCGAGCCTACAATGATTGCGTTGTACAACGTTTGAGCGGACAAAGGATGAGATGCCATTGTATGTCCTTCCAGCTTACCTGATTCGGCTGCCTGCACCATGATAAAGACACTCATATTAGAACCAGCAGTTCAGATTTTAGGGTATCGGCAAGAATCCAGGGTACATACTGCGCCAGTAGCTTTCAGTCCATATTGAATTTCCCTGTCTGAGCTGTCATTATAATTCTATATGCTGAAGGAACGATAAGCTACGCCGATCAAATCATGCATTTGAGGGACAATGGCGGTCCGACGTATGGATATGACCAAAACCTCTCATCTCTGTGCAGCTTATCTTGAGATCCACGCCTGGATACATGCACTTCTGCATACATGTACATTCTCTCCTCGAAGGACTCGTCCGCGTGGACGACGCTCACAACGCGACTACCTCGGTTTTTAACTACGCCAACATGGCCGCAGAAGGGCTGGTCGATGACACCTTGTCCACTTTTGGTTCCGATATGCGTCCTGTGGTCTATAGCGCACATCATGTCGAATTAGCCGCTGTTCGCGGAGGATATGCCGCCGGTGGCTGACAGGGACTATGTGCGTGTGCTTGAGGCAGCTGTAAGAAGCTTGTCTTTCAGCCGAGGTGTTCTTTGCTGATCAGTCTAATGAATCTTATATGTGCTTCTATTCCAGTCACGGTTTATGTGGATTCTTGCGATGTTATGGTGGAGTTCGATTACTTCCTCCGCAGCTGAGGATGTTTTCAATGAAGATGTCGGCCCTGTTAAGGTGTGATGTGCTCAGGCGGATGCGGCATTGGTGAAGGCCTCCTTGTTCTAGTGAAGGGTACTAAATCTTTCGCAGGCCAAAAGAGGAACTGAGGAAGGAAGGACGGGACCTATGATTCGGTGATGTGCGGTATAGCGTCTAGCTTAAAATGGTCCTTCAGACTTGCTACTTGTTGGAGTTCCTATGTCAATGGCTTTTGCAAGTTCAAACTCTGTGGCTCAGTGTTCAGATTAATGTAGAGACAGCAGAGAGAACGATATTCCATTGATGACTGAATCACATCAAGGAGCCACTTTTCAGCATAGCAAGTCTGTTGTCATCAGCTAGAGCCCAACACCTGTGTTATCCTGTAGCGATCTTTGCCCCTCAAGCTCCTGATGGCAACGATTTCTGGCCTCCCCAGCAGCAGTCTGCGGCTCTTCTGCGCGAAGGAATACCTGGCGTCGTTCCGGCGTCAGCGTACATTGAGCCGTATGCAGCTCCCTTATCTCTGGGCACGTCGAAAGCACCGTATCATGAGCGTGGATGATTTTCCGTCCGAGCTCCAGCATCTGCTGACATAGAGATGCATGCATCTTGCTTAACTCTGGAGACCTCAGTCCCTTATCATGAGCCTGCATGACAAATCGTCCGAGTTCCAGAAGGTCTCTTTCCAACTGGTCAAAGTTCTTGTCCGTATTTTCAAGCTCGCTCGAGATAGTCGCGGTGAGTGTAGCATGGTCAAGAGATTCCCTCGCCCTTCGACTCAAGTACGCCTCCAACCGGTGATGGATAGCCACATAGACGAGTGCCATCGTTACAACCCAAATGATTGATAGTAGTAGTGAGTGCTGTTCGTTCGTCGGAGTTGGTGTGTCCATCGTGTGTTAAGGAGTAGGATGTCGGTTGTAGGATTCTCGTTGTTAGTCACAGATGAGATGAGAGCTCTATAGTCGTCTGACCTGAAATCGAGAACAGGACAAAAGGCATATAATCTGCAGAGAGAAGACTCAGCGTAAATAATTATCAAGGTATGATTAATCGGACACCTACCTCGTCAGCCAGTTTCGATTCTTCAGTTCATCGTTGGAGTTGACAAGTTCTACGCGCCTCCTGCAAGCCAAAGACCTGATGCAACGAAGGCAGTCGCGATCGCCTGCCTCACCAACGATGCCTTAACTCCGAGGCATCTGCCCATTCACTTCCCTTTTAGGCCACCGACTTCACAACAGATGACTCCCCATTATATCATACTGTCAACCGAGCCGGACCGGTGGTGCAGCGGGCTAAACTGCAGTAGCTCAACTGTACTGCTGGTCCGGGTTCGAGACAGGTCCTGCTCGTTGCCTGGTGACGAATATTCTTACCTTTACGAATATTCCTAGACGGGCAGGACCTGGGCGGCTCAGAGAGGGGGTGGAGTACTGCCCCCTCTGTGATCCGTTTTGCTTCTCTCTCGTTTTGTTGCTATTCACATCTATTTGTTTGCAATTACTACTTATTGTTATGTGTTGTATGTTCTGGTAAGTGATCTGACTGAGATGTCGCTGGCCTGCTGATTGCCATAGTTATTCTCTATCAGCTGAATTTCATGACAGGTTCTGGAGAGTATTTACCACAGAAGTCTAGCATCTCCTAGTACACTATTAACAGTGAATCAATAATAGCTTTAAATTATCCTAATAAGCAGAATCTCTGCCTGTTACTCCTTATACTATCATATAATCTGAGCATTATTCAGGGGCTAAATTCTTTATATGGAGTTCAGGGCCCGGACTGTCCCCAAGACCTAAGTTCAAGATAATAAGCATCATATAAACCCCTAAGTTCTCCTGCACATATACAGTGAGAAATCATGAGGGAAGGAAGAGGCCTGCTGTATTAGGTTGGTAAGACCTTCTTTATCTGCTCGTTCAATAAACACTGTGCCCCTCTACTTTATGTACTTCCTTGTTCATGAGGCACTTCTAGAATGCATCATGTACTAATGTCTAGTATTCACTTCTCATTCAACCTCAATTAACGGGGGCACAATGTTAGCAATTCGGTCGATTATGTTAGGCTTCTCCTCTCTTTCCCATTTCTCMCTTCTCTTCTTCCTCCATCGTCGTCATCTTGATCCTATGACTATACCCTCGATTCTCAACTACCATGACATTGCAGCTAATGCTTGATTACTGAGATTTCTAGGTAGTGGACCTTTCCCCCGCTCTTGGTTTGTTCTGCCCTCATATCGAATCCTGTGGTAGTGCCAGGCCTCATGCCAGTCCCAGATAAGTGCTTCGCTTCGTCGATGGGTGCGGTTAGGCTCACCAGAGGTCAGTCGAGTTTCTGCTACAATCCAGGGCTGGTAACTGGTGGGAAGCACGGCGGTCACTGGCTCTTTCTTCTAATTTTGGGCATAAAAGGAGCAGGTACGACATGTTTGCTGTGATATAAGGATCTACATTTGTTGCCGTTACATTGACCCTCATTCCCAGAAATGCTGTTTGAGTCCATAAAGCTGGTGATCGACCTGCATCAAAGACGAACACATGCTTATTGAAATGCCAAAAAGGCGAAAAAAGGTTTTTAAACGATTGCCCTCCTCTGCCTACTATCTCCAGTACTTACGCAGGAATTCCTCCACCTTGACCGGCTGGACGTTGCACACCTCGTTCAACACCCCCGGCACCACCGACCCGTCTCTCGCGCAGGCCATGGCTATCTGACAGTCCATCCGCTTAAGCATATCTCCATCAGGAATCTCCTTTAATCTATCTTCCAGCTGCTGCAACGTCACCCGGCGCACCTCGACCTTCTTACCGGTATACCTCTCACAAAGCCTAATCAATTCCTCAAACCCGAGGGTATCACCCGCCATCCCCAACTCCCTTCCCCCCCATTCCTCCATCTCCAGCGCAGCAGCCACAAATCTCCCCACGTCCCGGATATCCGTCAACGTAAGCGACGGCGCTGATCCATCTGCTCTCACAGGAACGACCACATACGCCGGCTCAGCGTCCAAGTGCACGAGGAAAGCCCCCTCAGCGAACCCGGCTCGTGCCACTTTTTCTTGTTCGCCTCCAATCCCAATCGCCAGGTAATTCATGAACATGCCGCATGGGAACCGCGCTGCGTCGATCAGCCCTTCTTCAACCTTGGCCTTGACTGCCTCCCAGACGATATTCTTCGGCTGTAACAAGTCAACCTGTGCCTGGGCCCGCTCGCACATGGCAAACTCGGACGGCGCGAACCGCCGACAGCCTGCTTCTATCGCGGCGTTGAGAAGGTTGAGCTGGTAGGTGATTGTTTCTGGGCCGGGGATGAGCACCACGCTGAGAACGGTGTCGATGTCTTTGAGTGCGGCGACGAGAGATGTATGGGATGTATAGTCCACATAGCGGGTTTCGATGCCTGGGGGTGATGGTTTGGGGTTGTTGGTTTGACGGGAGAGGATGACCGGGGTCCACTTGTGCGTGTTGAGGGCGGCGAGGATAGATGCGCCCAGCGTTGGGCTGGATCCTCCTGCGATGGCTACTTTGGGCATTTTACTTATATAGATATATATATATGTGTCGAGATGGCGAGTTGAGTTCTGATCCTCTGGGTGAGATACATGATATATATGTTGGAGAGGATGACTCAAGCCAAGAAGAAATACGAGGTTGATGTCATGACTGATGTAACTGCCAATGAAATTAAATTTATCAGTCAAGCATTGAACAAGGATTATTACTTGAGAGGTTCTTGTATATTCTTGGGCTGTGGCTTTTCTTGGAGTAGTGATCTTGAGCCTAGTGTCAAGTTAACCCTAATTCAACGACCATGTCATTTGTCATAATTCTTCAACAGGATTACCCTGCTCACGATATCTCCTACTCTAACCATCAAATATATCAAATGCCTGTCCATACAACCAACTCCTATTGCCGATGTACTTATGCTCAAAATCCGTCTTGGTCCAATTATTATCAAACCCGACTGAATTCATCGTCCATCAGCCAATACAAAATGCTTTCCCGCTGCTAAGTGGAGTGGCATATAGCCCTGTACTGCGATTAAAGTTCACATGGAGAGGCGTAGTAGAACATAATAATGTAAACACTCATGGCATTATATGGTGTGCTTAATCTCTAAGGTCTGAAGTTCAGATCCATGCCCTTGAGTAATCAACCACAGCTCATATGAGGTGGAATCCTTTAAGCCTTTCTATGGCTTTATATCCACTCCCGCGTAAGATTTTTTGATATAGTCACCATTGTTCTTAGTGCAGGGAAGGCAGTCAGGCAGTGTCAGCCATAGTGGCATGCTCCAGCCTGAGATGTCCGTAATGTCTTCTGCGCCTATCATCGTGTATCATCAAGGGAACCCGCAGAACCGACCATCAGGATCCCATCTCCGACGAATCTCCCTCAACCGGCTCTCGTTCTCCTCCGCCCAGTAGCGGTCAGGTCTCACAGAGAAATCCGAGTCGCCTATATACGCCCCAACCCCATGTGGTCTGATTTTGTCCATAACAAGCCGCAACCACGACCGGCACCTCTCATCGTCTGCTTCGTCTTTCCAGCCCGCATACACTGCAAAATAATTGTCCGACTGCATGCTGAACGCCATATCCGGTAGTTTCCTCTTACTAGTCGGTGCAATCGGGCACCAGAATGCGTAGCTGTCTGGACTCGGGAGAGTGAGGAATCCTTCTTCGAGGATATCCACTACGTTGTGCTTGTCTTCGAGGTAGGTATTATCCGAGCACCACCTGCGATCCGTGGGGTGGAACTTGGCTTTTGCGCGGTATAGGTTCTCCAGGCTATCTTCCTGGCAGTACCACTCCCTCAATGCTCCGGGGGGTCTAGTCTCGTGGAGAGGCTGTAAGGCTGCTGCTGCTTGGGCGGTTGTCTCTTTCATACGGACTAGGAGGATGGAAAAGCACAGCTCGCCATTTAGGAACTGCGATAGCGCAGTAATCTCGGTATCGCGATCGAGATCGGGTACCATCGAAAGCACCCAGCTGAAGACGGATCGGTATAACCTCGCCGGATAGATGTACCCGGACGACCGAAAACCGTCACTATAGTAAGGGAGAACCCGGAGATGAAACCGCGTTACCACTCCAGGAAACGCTACCGGCTACCAGTCAGACCTGATACATCAATCAAAAAGCTCAACTCACTCACCAGGTCCCGCCCCCCTAGCAGCCCAGTACAGCTCCGCGTTCTGCTCCGCATTACAGAAAAGTTTCTGCGCTTGCGCTGTGACGACCTCCACCGCTTCAACCCGCTCACACGCCCATCCCCAGTTCTACCTCTAGTCGTTAGCCAGGCCATCTCATCTACAGACAGAGTGCTAGATAGAGAGAGAACATACCCCACAATTCCACCCCATCCGCCCCTGCAACAAAAACCCCCCAAGGCCAACATCCCCACAATGACCCGCAGGGAACATCAACCCCTGGCTCACCAACACCTCATTAACCTCCTTACTGGTAACACCCKGCGTCACAGACGCAATGCCCTTGGGTGCGTCAACAACACATTCCCGCCATTCACCTAGATCAATCAGCACGGCGTCATCCTGTAGACTCCACACGGGGAACGAGTGTCCTCCTGCGCGAACGGCGATGCGGGCGTTATGCGTTATTGCTAGCTGAACAGCTGATATCACCTTCTCGTCAGAACTGGCTTTGAGGATGGCGAGGGGGTATTTGGGTGGATGGCGCTTGTTGAAGACACCCCGGGTGCGGGCGGCTTCGTAGGTGGGGTTGGAGTTGGAGTCGGAGTCTCGCCAGATGATTTGCATTTTGAGATCAGACTCAGCTGCTGTGGATGGATGATATTAGTGTGAAGTGATCACTGTCTGCTGAGGTGGTTGATGAGAGCTGCAGCCAGAGAGATGCACGAGCACGTGACGATGCAGGTTACTGTCTCTCATACGTTGGCTTGATTAACAATGTTAAAGGTAGGGAGGTAGTTTTTATCGATGCAGCAGGTTGATCGTAGTTCCTGCACTTTATGACAGTTGTATAAGGAATGCTGGGAATGGAAGTACGCTATGACCGGCACACAGAGATAGGAGCTACAGCAAATGGGGTAAAAAGTATGCTAAGTTTGTAGGGATTGTTGGTCGTTGCAATAACCCTGGCCATATAATGGTTGATATCCATTTCGAATGTGATAACGGCAGCGTATGATGAGTGTTTCATATGTGTTAGCCATGCACGCATACAAGTTTAACTAGTCCGTTGAAGGTGAATGTTAAGGTGTAGTCACGAATGTGTTCACGATTAAACTGCTACAACTAGACCAACGCCGCGCTCACAAGAGATCCAGACAAAACTCACAAGTACTCGCTTGCGCCAGTTCCGAGCGCCAGTTGCCGAAATACCACAATTGCCATACCACGGCTTTTACCCGAAACCCAAGCATACCCGCAGTCCGTACGCTAGATCACCAGTGTGATCCGCCATCCGAAAGAGAAAGAGACATAATCATACAGTACATGAGACGTACAATATAGTACAACCAAGGAGCAATAAGAGAGAAAAAGAAAAAGAGAATTCCAGGCACTACCGTGAGAATTCACTCCACACGGTGCTCAACCATCCAGCAGGAATGCCAACCTCGGACGGCATCATGCTGGACAGCTGGTCATAGTCGCATCCCTCCAGGAATGCGACGACATCATCCCCGCCCAGGCTGGTGGACCACATGGCGTTCGAGACGCCACCTTCGAATCCGTCCACCGTCACCGGGGGCGAGGCCGCGGGGTGGTTGACGGACCCGGGCGGGGGCAGCAGTGGCAGGCCATGCGAGGTGGCCTGGTTGATAGGGGGCAGCGACTGCGAGTACGGGCCTTGTTGACGGGAGAGCCACGAGTTCAATGGCTGGAGACGATTAGAAGGCTGTACTTGGCCATACTGTGATGGGGGAGCCCCTGCAGAAGGAGCAAGAGACGGGAGGCTCGGCGAGGAGGTGCCGTAGAGAGGACCGTCGGGATGGTGCTGCAGCGACGGTAGCGAATACGGCGACTGCGACTGCAAGGCTCGTGGAGGCAACGGCAGGCTGGGCCGCCGCTCGGCATCCGGCCCAGGGAGAGGCAGGCCAGGGCTGTTGATGGGGACCCACGACTCGCGCCGGCCGCCGGCACCATCGAGGGTAGGCTCGGCCGTCTCGCCAGGGTCACTGCGGACCGCGTTGCTGCCCGCATCACTGACGTTGGTCGCACGGTCGGCCCCGTCATCATCAGCAGTGTTCTCGGGCAGCCGGTCGTCGATGCTGCCAAAGTCGAGGAACAACTTTTCAAGCAACTTGAACTCCTCCAGGCCGCCTCCGGCACCGCCCTCCCGTACCGGACGAATTCCGTTGGTATGCGGGTCAAGGGCGTCCAGGCGGGAATGGCGTCGGAAGTCGCGCTTCACCTTGGAAAAGTAGCTGTGCAATCGGTTCAGCGTGCGGAACCATCCATTGGCCATCTTCAAGCGAGACCGCGTATCTCGCAAGATGTCGAGCGCCTTTCCAGTCTGCACCTGGCCGTGCGTTCCATCAGTGGCACCGGGCCTGAGACTCAACGATCCTTCCAGGTCCATGTGCGGAAAGTGTACCGCGTAGACGCCGATAAAGGCCGCATTGTAGATGGCAAACCCGACCAGTGGATTTTCAACAAGAACACCGCGCTCCTGGCAGGTTACCACGAGGTCCAGCATCTGTCGGGCGGCCCGGAACAGCTCACGCGCACTGTCCCTCCAGAATCCATCCGGAGCCACCGACCTATCGCCGGGGAACAGTGGTTCATCCAGGGGACCGACCGGCTCATTGCACCGGACCGGAAGAAATGGAATGTAGGCGCGGTGGAGGACAATGACGGAGAGAAAATACACCACATGCATGACAGTGTAGGACGCCAGCTTGTTCTTGTACATGATGTGGGTGTCGGTATTTCGGGGCGAGTACTGCAGATTGCGCGAAAGTCCGTCCTGGAACTCGCCTAGCATCGTCCGCAGTTTCGAAAATCTAGAGTCGATATGCCATGGGGGGAGTTGTTCCGTTCTATTGATGTTAGTTTCGGGTGATGCTACCGGAGGGTGGGAGAGGGGTGGGGGAAATGCATACCTTCGTCCACCAGCACAAGACCACTTGGCGATACTCCCCCAGATCCGAATGATGCGAATCACCCGGCTCAACACCGACTCCTCCGCCCCAACCTCCCACCGGTCGATCTCATCCTCGCTTGAGTCCTTTCGCCTGGAGATTGGAGACCACGGCTTGTTGTCCGGGGGGCCATTATTGGGCAGTTTGTCATCGCTGAAGCCTCCGATGCTCTGGCGAATGCTGGGAATTTGCATACCCTGCGAGCCGAAGCTCTGGGGGCGACGGGCGGACGGCTCGTTCAGACGCGACGTTCGCACGCGCTCTCCAAAAGCGAAAGCGTTGTCGCTGGGCAGCTGAATGCCGAGCTCCTTGACCCGAATCATGCGAGGACGATATTTCCCGCTACTGAGACAACGGTCGAGGATGAAGCAGGCCCAAAACGTCCGCCGCTTCGTCTCCAGGGCGATCACATCGTCGGACGTCTGCTCTTTGGGTTCCGGACCGCGGCGCACGCCAAAGAGCTCTGCCTCGGCTTTGAGGGCGGGCGATCGGGGCCCCTCGCGAGAAAAGAGCTCGTTCTCCAGCTCAAACGGCAGCCCCATGGCCTGCGACAGTCGGATCGCCATGCCGACGTATAGCCAAGCGCTCTTGCCACGGCACATGCCCCATTCGTGCAGTGCCAGCATCAGCAGCGCCTGCACACGTGTGAGGTCGGGGATCGCCAGACTGGCGCCATCGACGCCGGCCAGCCGGCTGCGCAGCGCTGCCGCATAGAATTCGGATGCGACGAGAGGGTTCGAAGGGTTGCCGGGGGAGGAGGGGGAATGGTAGGCAACCAGATGAGGGTGGAATCGAGCCGTGAGCGCGAGGACTCCGAGAGGAATGAGAGGATTGGGTTCGGCTTTGGGGGCGGGAGGACTTTGTGCGGCGTCTCGGTTGTTTTCCGAGTTTGTGGCATTGCTGGACGATGTGCTGCCGGAGAGCTGTCGAATCTGACCGAGGAAGGAAGCGGGGTGAAGAAAGGGGAGGATGAAGGCGTAATGCGACTGGAAAAGATCAAAGACGGCCTCCCAGACCTTGACGGTCAGCACGGACGTGTCGAGCACCTCCAGCGAGGCTTTGGCTGCATCTTTGGCCGCAGACGAGGACACGCCGACGGCCTTACGGGAGCGCTGTCGCTTGGGGCTATCCCAATCGCCGTTGCGATCCTCCCCATCGGCCATGGCGGCAATGTCTCGTTTGGCCGCGCCACCGCCGACGCCGATGGCCGGGGTGGGATATACACATTCTCGCCCGGACGACTCGCATGCACGACAGGTGGTGTCAATACCGGCATTGACGCATTTGATCTTGCTCCGTCGGCACCGAGCGCAGGCTATACTCGATCGCATGTTGAGTGAATGTAAAGGACGAGTGATGTAGGAAAAAGGCGTGGCAGACACCGTCTGCTGTCAGCCGGGGGGTTCTTCCGCGTTTGTGCCTTCGCGTTAAGTCCCCGGTCTCTCGCGCGGATTTCGAAGTGGCCCAAAGTTCGGCTGAGGATGAAGTCGAAATAAGGCGATAATCGACTAAGAATCGCATGAACTTAGCCATGGATCTGGATTTCCAAATGGTCAACTGGCGACTGTAACTTACCTTGGACCTAATTTCCGGTGCACAGCACTGTGGGTAGAAGGCGAATAATAAGACAAAAACCAGTCGATAGATCAACTAGGCGTAGTGAAGTGACGTGCGACCAGGATAGGGAGGAGTTGAATTATGGTAGACGAGTCAAGGTGGGAGAGGTGTCGAGTGCGACAGGCAAGGAAGCGAAGCTGGAAGCAAGGAAGGCGAGTAAGGACCATTCAACATGGGCGACGGACGGAATAAGCGGAGTGTGGGGGAGCAAGAATGCCAGACAGAAATCGGGGCACCGGACCGGAAACGCGACGTGAAAAGGAAACAAAGGAAAGAAATCGGGTAGAGACGGGATTGGAGGAGTTTGTCAGGACGACACGGCGAGTATAGGAACGTCAGAGGATAATAATACCCCGTGGGTAGAGCCGGGGGAGAAGAAGAGAGGGAGAGAGAAGAGAAAAGAGGGAAGGAAGAAGAGATGATGGAGGGAAACGATTCAAATGATGAATGTGTGTCGTTTCGCTGACCTCCGACACCCACAGAAGGAAAAAAGAAAGAAAAGAAAAGCGAAAAAAGCGACCAGTCCCCGGATAGTTCCCGCAGTATCAAAAAGCTACACCACTGCTACTTGCCAGTTACAACATCCGCATTTCAGCAAATTGCGGAGGCCCGACGCTGGTCTTAGTCTGGCGGTTTAAGCGGGCGGTGTTAATCCGGAGACAGCAGCGCCCCAGCTTGTTACTTTCCCGAGTTCCGAGACTCCTGCACTGCATCGTAGCCTCAACAGTACGCAGTATACGTTTTTGATCTTTTTATTCAAATAGACAGTAGCTTGCTACAATAATAGTACAACAGTTATATATTTCCTTTTGTTCATTCATAGCTATGGTGAAGAAATACAGGCTGATTTGAGGCGTACCGTCAATACGGGCTAGTCCAGCCATCGGGACGGCGAACAGGCCCAGTCGCCTCTTTTCGCGGGGGGCATTAGTTCGCCTCTCCGACCGACAGGAGCCTTGATGATCAAGAATAAAATATGCTTCAATATCCTACATGTTCTAACGTATTTAAAGGTAACGTCTATGCTGCCTCCTTTCCTACTCACATCTCCCGTCTCACATTTTTCCCTCCGTATCCCATGTCAAATGAACATATCGGGACACCCAGGACGGACCGAAGAAGCCGGCTACCAGCAGTGTGGTGGAACAGCATGGAGTAATATTACCTAACAGGCCAACCGTCCGCTCCATCCACCATCCGGTCATGTTCCGTACGACTGGCTAAGCACGGTTACACGGTAAAATGGTTAATTCTATTTCTCCAGTGTCTTTCCATGTGGCTGCTGGGCTATGATGATAGATCTATTCAGTAGATCAAGCTAAGCGGACGATTTATCCTATTTTAGCTGCCTTCACCTATCATTTCTTTCAGGCTCTCTTTCTGGTAATATGGAATAGAAGTCTGCCCAATGCCCAGTCCATCCCGTGCCGATCGGTCTCTTGTCTCTGAGATGGCTGCGACTACTGTCTGCAGTGTAATTGTGGCCCTGTGGGTGGTGTGGATGACGCCTACGGAGAATTCAACACGGGGTTACTTCCGAGGAACCACTGGATTATGGTCACACTGTCCGACTTGAATTTTCTTTTCTTTTTTTTTTTTTTACTTTCAGTATATCACAAGGAAGGCGAACCGCGAACAAAGGCAAAATGAGGGGAAACGGCAAGTGAAGTGGCCACAATCACATTACCTCCGTCCGCAGAACCTCGGGTATCCTCAGCCTGTCCGTTACCTCAGGATGGCTTCATTTTCGTCTCGTCGGGATGGGTTGGAGACTTCCTGGGACGTGGAAAGTTGTCCGACTCGTCAACCGTGTGACGGGTTCTTTTTCATGACTAACAAAAATCTGGGCCCTGAGTTGGGCCCCTGCATTTGGGCCTTCCCCGCGGGGAGAGTAGTCCACAGTCAGTCAATCATAAAGCTAGAGGACTCGTAAAGTAGGTACGGTTGACCAGTCACGAGATTAATGGTTATTAAAGGTTACAGCTGGATACTACCTCAATTTCTGGATTGTGCGTCCATCAATTGACGCAGTGGTCTTTAATAATCCTCCCCTTCTGAACTGGCTGCTTACGAACATCCGCAGGATCATACCCTCCGACCGACAGTCGGGGGGGCTCCTCCGCACCCGGGCGGCAACTCCTGGAGCCTACGCCCTACGCTTACAGTAAGTCCACAGATTTTAACCGGGCATACTTTTGAACACGCTCATCCCGTGGCCGCTCTTCGGGCGTAGCCGATGTCCATGATTGGCTCTCTGCTCCCCCATGTCCTTCTCACCCGAGGCACAAGCGAACCGATGAACCCCGCAATCTGTTCACATTAATCCCTACCTTATGATTTCGTATGTACCTAGGACTTGTGATATACTGAAAGCACATGCTACTACAGTTGCAAGCGAGCCATGGAAATAGCCTACTAGGATTATTACCCTAGGTACCTTGCCTACCTCTATTCTGCCTACCAGCTACGATAGGAAATACCCGGCGAATCATCGGAGAATGCCCGATCCCACAGCCGGCTATTCTATTCTTCTTATTGTCTAACGGCTATTGTACCTATGAATGGAGGAAAAATTAATCACAGCCATAAACAGTACATTAAGGTTGAACCAACGGGGTATTTTCAATTCGGCAAAACAGCGCGCAACTGCGAGAGCTGAGGCTGCGAGAGACAGCCTCCCGACAACCAACCTCATCCTCATCCGTAGGGTAGGTGTCACCTGCTCGGCTTGTTGGCCAATGAATTCGCCTCTGTATACAGGGTACCTTAGTTTGACGTACCTAACACCTAACTCGCAAATCGCAACTCTTACCTACTTTACTTCTCAGATTACCCCTGGTATGGTTACATAGTCAACCCTCTACGCGAGAGCCGAGTCTCCATCGCAATCCTAGTCCTAAGCAATAGGATCCTAGTAGTCCCTACTTCCATACTTTGTACTTTGCGGCGTGGCATCAACCACAGCCACAATCTGAATCCCTTCTGTCCATGTCCATGTCCGTTTCCGATTTCCCCGAGATTAAGCGTGCAAGTAGGTAGCCACGATGCAATAGACCCCGTCGTCTGATTCGCTGCGCTACGCCACGTCTCGTGGACCGGTTCAGCTGGGCCAATGGGGGGCCTGGCGGTTCGGGGGAGATAGACCGTTGTATTTGTCCGGGTACTGCTACTATTATGAGAGTACGACGGAGTAGAGTCTGGGGTAGACGGTTAATAGTACGGAGACTGTCAGTCACTAGACTATTTGCCACGTTGATACGGAGTTTTGGGAAGTAGATAATGGATAGATGAAGCCAAGACATGGCGGTCTCGGCGGTCTCGGCGGTCGAAGTGCCTGGTCAGGTACCTGGCGCCTGGTGGCTGTGTGGTCTTGGTGTTTACCCGTCGTTTACACTGTCATACTACTAGATTTGAGCTCGGCTGAGCTAGATGTGTATTCGATTGCTATCGCTGTATTGGTTTGGTTCTAGTTAATATGCTGGGGGTATGCGTTCGAGTTCTTGTAGTTCTCTGTGTCGATGGTTAATTGTTATCTGTGTGCTTCGGGTTTGTGGATGAACTATGACAGTTGGTGATTGCCTATATATACCCATGAGGTTCTCTGGTACTAATTATTGGCGACTTTGATTGAACATAACTAAAATCTGGAACATAGCCTCCAAATACATGAAAAGGGTATCTTCCCAACGTATGTGAATGAGTGAAGTCCGTATAACGTATAATTTTAAGCAGCTGTTTCGGTCTTGTTAGGATAGAACCTGTAGATATTGTCAGCCAAGTACTTCCAATGCAGATAATGGAGATATATACCAAGCAGCCACGGCGATGATCAAATACATCATCATCAACAGCACACCCTCGAGCCAGTGCGATTTGCCATCGGCAATGAGATAGTTCACCTACGGAATTAGCGTCATCATAAAACAGGGGATCAAACATACCAGCAACACAGAGACGAAAAGCAGGATCACTTGGAATGCATCGAAATACAAGGTCATATTCTCGAGTCCTTTGCCAGTCAGTCACGGTCAGAGAAGAAGTCACAAGACAAGAAATGAGAGCATACCCATAATCCATCCAATCACAATAACCAACGGCAGAACCAGCAGAGCAATCTGCATGCTTGATCCCACAGCCACTCCAATCGCCAGGTCCATCTTGTCCTTGCATGCCACCGTCACCGCCGTGGCGTGCTCGGCCGCATTACCGACGATAGGGAGCAGGATCAGCCCGACGAATGTCTCCGAGATGTGGCCTCGTTCCGTAAGAGCGTCAATGGAACCAACCTGGACAGTCAGTCATGCCCTGACACCACGTGGTTATCGAACTTACCATAAATTCAGCGCACAATGCGACAAAGGTCGTGGAGATGGTCAGTGTCAGGACGGCAACCCAGATGCTGAGCTGAGGCTGTTCCTCGTCGTCCTCCTCGTGCAGTTGCATCTGCTGCGCGTTCTGACCACCCATGGTGGCCGTCATCTTGCCGATCTGGGCAAGGCCCCGGCTGGCGTCACCACCGGACACCTTTTGGCGTCGCTTCTCGACCTTGGGGCTGGGTCTGTTGTAGATCTCGGTGTGCGACTTGAGCTGGAAGAAGAGGTAGCATCCGTAGACGAAGAGCAAGATGATACTGGTGCCTGCGATTTGTCAGCGACGATCCTCCGCGCATGGCCAGCAATCTTACCTCGCGACAACGGGGCAATTCCCACAGTTCCGGCTGCAAAAATCAGTAAACGTCCTTAATCTTCGGCCGGATTGACGCACCGCCGGACCACGCGTKGAACGCGGTGGGAATAATCAGACTAGCCACCGCCAGTGCCAAAAGACTAGCCGCTGTTTGCGCGACAACCGGGTTGAAGTGTTGCTCGAGACGATTGACGCCACCGAAAAAGAAACACATGCCCATAACCAGCAGCAGATTCGAAAGCATACTGCCTATAAGTGACGTTTGAACAATGACAACCTGCTTATCGACCAAGGCGATGATGGCGACGATCAACTCGACCGCATTACTATATATTGTCAGTCTGCTGGTGTCTGGTGTTTCCAGCGATGCGAGCACCTACCCGAATGATGCATTCAACAGACCACCAATCGTTTCACCAGTACTGGACACGTTAGCTTGGTCCTCTACAACAGGAACTATACATACCGCAAGGCGATTTCTTCCGTGGCATAACTCAACATGGCCGCAAGGGGTCTGGATATGTCAGTCGAGTCCAGACGTGGTATAGGGATACATACATAATAGCAACGAAGTTGACCACGAAGACGGCCACCGGATCAACGTTGACGTAATTCAGTGCAACTGAGATTGTTAGTGAGGAACTCAGACTCGTCATATCCCAACTCACTTCCAACTGGCGCAGCGATCAAGAGGACGTTCATCCAAGAGTTGAAAATAGTCGCCTTGAGCTGGCCAACGGCGGTGAACTTTTGCTTGTCAGGTTCATCCTTCGCCTCCTCCACCGAAGATACGGCTTCCCCATCCTCAGACCGACTTCCATAGCCGCTCAAAAGGGTCTTCCTCTTCCGAGGTTTTCCTTCCGGGATCTCATCCTGTCCCTCTTGGTTGGTGACGTTGATGGGGTCATGGCTGCGCATCGATGGCTCGGCCGATTTCTCTCCACTTTCTGTTCGATGAAGACCGTCCGTTCCTGACGACTCTGGCGGAAAGGTGTCTGCGTGCTCTGGACCGGCCAGGCCGTCGGTCATGTCCCTCCGCCGCCGTCGTTCCTCCGACATGCGCACCTCCCCCGCCGTGCGGACGGAAGTGAGTCCGCTCTCCATCTGATAGGAATTGGACCGTCGCGGCCGTGCTTTGAACTTTTTAAAGGGATTATAAACGGATGGCTCGCCTTCCTGGTCGTACCAGGCCAGATTCCTGGCTTGACGGCGGTAGATGTCTGGGCGCCGAGACGCATCAGTCGAGACGCGCTTGGCACAACACATTAGGGTCAGACTTACGCATGATGTTCTTGTTCTAGAAGGCAGGTAATCCCTGGAAGATTGATAATGATACTGCAGTAGTCAGGGTATTAAGATGAGGTTCAAGAAGAGCAGGAAGCAAGATGTGAAACGGCAGGGGGGAAACAGCAGTGCCCAACGGCAGACAAAGACAATTCTACCAGGGTTGTCCTTTCATCGGCTTAAAAACAAGTCAAGGATCTTGCAATGACATACATTAATTAGTATATTGACGTGGACCACTCGTGGCTAGAGATCACAGTTGACGAAATGTGGCGCGTACCTCAGCGCTCAGCCCCAGTGGCCGACAAGACTATGACAAGAGGGCTCGGAAGGGACAAGCTTTGGACAAGAATAGCTGTCTAATAAATGGGTCGCGGCAGCAGATTGGAAAGGAAAGAATGCGGTCAATCGAACGATTGAGTAAAAAGAGTGACAGGGTTCTTGCAGGCTCGTTCAACCAGCGAGCAACACAGTACCCAGAGTTTCAATCTGAAAGGAGTGAGGGTGTACACAGGCAAAGCAAAGTGAAAAAAGGGATAACATGGTCATTGTCTGTCAAAGCGCGAAGAATACTTGGCAGAACTGTCCTTTGCTTGGCGATTTTCATTCAGTCGACAGATCCAAATATCGTCGTTATGGAGAGAACATTGCTATTGGTGAATGTGATACACAGCCACAATAAGCGTGCGTTTAGATCCTCTGGATAGCGTATCCTGGACGCGCGGAGATGGAGATTCGTAAACCATCATTATTGAGTATGTGGCTGCTGCAAGCCTGCAACGAGACTAGGGCAATTCAGTACCCCTTATCAGATGAAAGATCTCTCTACATTTGCAAAGAGTAGAAAGGTACAGCAGTCTTTAAATGATTTGTAGAGGTTGTTTACGATGGTATTAGTTAAATGTTATCAAAGATGATGAGGCCCTCCTATTTATTGGCGCTCTGATTCTGATTTACGAGGCACAAGATCAGTAAAGTTAGTTATTCACAACTAGCACCAGGTCGTAATAGTGGCTCCTTAGTAGATCCTAATCATGTCCTAACCGATTAGGGCTGGCTCTCAATTCTGGGAAAGCCAGTAGATACCCCTGGCGCATGCGCACTTTGAGAGAGCCGTTTCAAATGCTGCGTCTTTCGCAAAAGGCAGAAGCATTGGCCTATCAGATTAATGATCAATCTGATCACTCTATATGAAGACAGTCTCTTAAACTACCTAGAGATCAGAAGTCTGAGTTTCATGGAAGCATGTTGATTGCAGTACCATCTGTGGGTCTGAGATAGATTGAGTCGTTACTCAGCATGTCCAGAAACCAAGCCACGTCGCCAGCCACAGAACAACATCAGCCACATTCTACCTTAGTATTCAATTCACTCTGCGCCTCAACTTTCTCGATGCTCAGCTCTTGACTTTCAACTGCGGGCAAGAACCTGATAGCACCATCATGCATAAAGTTCCATGTCCGCCTCTTGGATTTGATTTTGACTTTACAACAGATTGCACAATGATACGCAAGTTGTCGTGCAGCAAGAACACGTCAGTAACTMTTGCATCGTGTCACGGTCTGCTGATCAAGACAGTGCTGAATTCAAGTCATCAGTGTCCGACCCTTGCGCCATGATGTGGTGAGATTGTGAGCTGTTCTGCATGTAGGCATAGCCATTTTTAACACAGCTGCCTTGTAGTTTATGTAAATATATCCTCGATTCTCACTCTACAGATGAACGAAGTCGTTGCCGAGTAGCCACTTAGGAATATATTTTGCAGCGGTACGACTCTGGGATAATCTGGTTCTAGCAACGCAGCACAATTGTTGCTTAGTGCATCATGCAAATTTGAGACTGAACAGAAAAGCTGAGACATTCATTGCAAATGGGAGTTTGTTGTCAGTGCATAAGACTCTCAAGGACATGGCTTATTTGCATAAATCTACAGTGTTATGATTACTATGCTCAGATGACTAATAGTACAGCGGACTGAAAAATTTTATTACTGTGGGATTCAGGGCAGTTCCAGACCCTGAAACCCTGGTCGCCGGTCCTTGGTAAGACATTGTACTGCCCAGGGGGTCTGTATCGTTGGTAGTTTGTTAACATGGAAGGATAGAAATACGGCTCAGAAAAGAGGACTCGCATAATATGCTGTTTGAATCAGCTCTCGGAAAGTACCTTAGTCTTATTCCATTCTTGCGGTGGTAGTAAGCCAACTTGCAGGTCTTCGACTTGAACTCATCAATGACCCACGATTCTCACATAATCGAAATTGGCGGTCCTAGGAGCTCAAGATTCAGGACAAGCCAAACAAGCCTGACAAGCCGGAACTTGAGGGAGCGAAGCAACATTGATGCCCCTATTCCTCAGACAACTGGGCAAAGGTAAGCATACAGGGTCTCCGTAATTCCATTCTTACAATACAGGCCCCATCTCAACGACGAATGAGCACCCCGGACCCTGGCACTAAGTTTCAAAGGCCCCGCAGTTATATCACTGAGAATGTCAATCCTTTGTCCCTGGACGTATCATTTGCCTCCCTCCCATGATTGTTTGATTGTTCTCAACGCAATGATCATTATTTACATACACAAGATGCTTGGCGATACACCAGATTTCGCACATTGGATACCCTCAAGTGAGACAATTGCGACCATAGTCTCCATCAACAGCAGTAAGAAGATGGACTCGAGTCAGTCAACGCCCAATCATCAGTCCACAATGCTCACTGGATGTCTCATTGTTAAATAGAATCAATTGGATGATTGATAGTGGAGTATACTATTTATAATCAGCTAGTTACTGGGTAATATTAGTGTTACAGGGGCTGCCATACATACTCTAGTCCTCCCGAGTGCTTGCCGTGGTGCCTGCTCCAGCTTCTCCTTTCCCATCTTCTTCTTCTGTCATCCCCGTGCTTTCTTCTTCCTCTCCTCCTTCATCTTCTCGACATCCTTTCTTTCCCTCCTTGTATTCTATTTTCCCTCTTGGGACTCCAACCATCCAACGGCTTATTGTATAACTGCCGTCAGTCACTCGTTGTCCATATTCTGTCATTTTCATCCTAAGGCCCTGTGGGTTTGATATCAACTGGGTTTGCGGACCAAGACGATCAACCCACTCTTCGCAGATCATCGACATCATCTTTCATCTACGATTGAGTTTGCACTCGCTTAAATCACATACAACATGAAGTTTGTTTACGCCGCCGCCGGAGCTTCCCTCGTGGGCAGCGCCCTCGCAACACTGCCCGCCATCGAGGCTAAGGTACTGAAAGGCCTGTTAACTGGACGATCGCATTGGACACTAACTCATATGTACTTGATATAGGGCAACAAGTTCTTCTACTCCAACAACGGAACAGAATTGTAAGTTTACCTGCCACTTCCTGCGTCATTGTTCTGTGACTGACCGGGTTTAGCTTCATTCGCGGTGTTGCCTACCAACGTATGTCCTGAGATATCTCCCATCCAATCGGTCCCGAAACTAATACCGAGTAGAGGAGTACCAGGCCAACGGCACAGCTTCCCAGAACTCCGACTACACCGATCCTCTGGCCAACGTGGACAACTGCAAGCGTGACATTCCCTACCTGAAGCAGCTGCGCACCAACGTCATCCGTACCTATGCTGTCGATCCCTCCCAGAACCATGACGAATGTATGAAGCTCCTGGACGATGCCGGCATCTACCTGATTACCGACCTGTCTGCGCCATCCGAGTCCATCAACCGCGCGGACCCCGCCTGGAACACCGACCTGTACAAGCGCTACACCAGCGTCATTGACGCCTTTGCCAACTACACCAATGTTATTGGCTTTTTCGCGGGTAACGAGGTCGCCAATGACAACAACAACACCAACTCGATTGCCTACGTGAAGGCTGCCGTGCGTGACATGAAGTCGTACATCAAGACCAAGAACTACCGCTCCTCCCTGGCTGTCGGATACGCCACCGATGACGACGCCAGTATCCGTGCCGACTTGGCCGACTACCTTGTCTGCGGTGATAAGGCGAGCTCTATCGACATGTTCGGCTACAACATCTACGAGTGGTGCGGTGATTCTTCCTTCGAGAAGTCTGGCTACAAGGACCGTACTGAGGAATTTGCCAACTACCCTGTCCCTGCTTTCTTCTCTGAGTACGGCTGCATTGACCCCAAGCCTCGCAAGTTCACCGATGTTCCCACTCTGTTCGGTCCCCAGATGAACGACGTCTGGAGCGGTGGTATTGTCTACATGTACTTCCAGGAGGCCAACGACTACGGTCTGGTTTCGGTCAACGGCAACAAGGTCCAGACCAAGGATGACTTCTCCTATCTGTCCTCTGAGATGCAGAAGGTGACGGCCACCGGTGTGAACAGCGCAAGCTACTCCGCCAACACTGCCACACCTACCTGCCCTTCGGTCGGCACCAAGTGGGAAGCCTCCAACAAGCTGCCTCCTACCCCCAACAGTGAGCTGTGCGACTGCATGGTCCAGACTCTGGGCTGCGTGGTGAAGGATTCTGTGGACGAGAAGAGCTACGGCGACCTGTTCAACTACCTCTGCGCCGCCGGTGTTTGCGGTGGAATCAACTCCAACTCGACCAGCGGTGACTACGGAGCTTACAGCGTCTGCAGCCCCAAGCAGCAGCTCTCCTTCGTTATGAACCAGTACTACAAGAAGAACAACAAGGCTGCGACCGCCTGTGACTTTAATGGCAAGGCCCAGACCCAGAAGGCTGCTGATGCCGCGGGCTCTTGCTCCTCTCTGATCAGCCAGGCCGGAACTGCTGGCACTGGTTCCGTGACCGCCGGTGCCACTGGCGGCTCCAGCAGTGCCAGTGCGACTTCCAAGGGAGCCGCTGGTGTTGCCGCTAGCCCCATGGCTGTCAAGGTTGGCAACTGGCAGTTTGGAGCCTACATTGCCACCGCTCTCTTTGCCGGTGTCGGTATGCTTGTGCTGTAGGTGAAACAGATTTGAGACGGATGCAGCAGGGGGGTTGTCGTTCGTGTGGTTTTAGATTTTTGTTTGAGTACATACTTTTTAGCAAGTAGTGTGGTGCTTCCATTCCTTTCGACAGGAACTATTGCTTTTATACCTGACCACCTGACGGTCTGTTGGACATTAGTTAAATGAATGATTTAGTTAATACACTTCTGCGCTTGTAGGTTATGGACCCGCCAGAGTAGATATAACTAAGCTGCTGCCAAGGAAGAACTTGGAGATTATAGGCGCCAAAAGGACTGACCAGTAGCGAAGATATGTTTGGAAGAAAGAGGTTAAGAAATGATAAACAACTAACCACTCAATAATTGTTGCCAATCTTGTACTGCAAGCGGAAGGTCGTAGTGTCCCAGAAGGTACAATCAGAGAAGGAGGGTTGCGCTGGTGGCCGAGTCTCGGTGCCAGTCGCCGAAGTATGACTCGCAGCAGGGTGGATCTTGCAGACTCATCCTCGGCCTCACACTCGGCATGCCGAACAATTCCCGGAAAAGAATCCGTCAGTGCACATATTTATCTCACGTATTCCTCTAATAAAATGGCTGAATTAGAACAGAATCCGAGTGATATTGATATTGATCCTCACCAATGGGTCCGTTATCACGATCCAAACCAAAAGACACCTGAGTCATGACAAGCCCAAGCCCAAGCCCAGCGGCACCTCTCGACCCCGAAAAGAACAGACAAGACACACTCCCTCTCCCGCTCTGGCGCAAATGCATCATCCTCTTCGTCGTCAGCTGGATGACCTTCGTCGTCACATTCTCCAGCACGTCGCTCCTCCCCGCGACGCCCGAGATCGCAGCCGATCTGCGCACCACGCCCGAACTGCTGAATGTCACGAACGCGGGCGTGTTGCTGGCCATGGGCTTCTCGTCGCTTATTTGGGGGCCGCTGACTGCGCTCCTGGGGCGTAGGCTTGCGTATAATATTGCGATTGGGGCACTTTGTGGGTGTTCGGTTGGGACGGCGGTTGCGGGGGGAAGTACGGTGTTTACGGCTTTTAGGGTGCTGGGCGGGTTGACGGGGACGTCGTTTATGGTGCAGGGGCAGACTATTTTGGCGGATATTTTTGAGGCGGTATGTCTTTCCTTTTTCCTTAAGGCTGTGGGTGAAAGGAGAGGGTAGGGGAGTACTGATGGATGATAGAGGGTTAGGGGGACGGCGGTTGGGTTCTTCATGGTTGGGACCGTGACGGGGCCGGCGATTGGTAGGTATATCTCTCTGACGTTTCTGATTGAAGGTGTTGATGGGACGGGTAGGACCGTGTATCGGCGGCTTGATCGTAACCTTTGCCCAGTGGCGGCTCATCTTCTGGGTGCAGGTTGCCATGGCCGGGCTGGGCCTCGTGCTTTCGCTGCTGTTCGTCCCGGGGATCGAGAAGAGAGAGGGCGAAGGTGTTGAAAGACGTCCTTCCTCTGTGCGAGATGTCCTCGCCATGTTCAACCCGGTCCGAATCTTTCGGCAGTGGCTGTATCCTAACGTCTTGCTATGCGTATGTACCTGCAAGCCAGATAATTGACAAGGAAGACACTAAAAGAAATAGGATCTAACGTGTGGCCTGCTCGCCGTCTTCCAGTACGCCCTCCTCACCTCCGCCCGCGAGATCTTCAACCCCCGCTTCAACCTCACCTCCGGCCTCGTCAGCGGCCTCTTCTACCTCGCCCCCGGCGCGGGATTCCTCCTGGGGAGTATCGTCGGCGGAAGACTATCCGATCGCACCGTGAAACTGTATATCGCTCGCCGCGGGGGGCTGCGTCTCCCACAGGATAGACTGAACAGCGGACTGGCGACGCTGTGCGTGGTGCTGCCCATCGCGGTGCTGGTTTACGGGTGGACGCTGGAGACGCGGGCTGGGGGCATGGCTGTGCCTGTCATTGCGGCGTTCTGGGCTGGAGTGGGACTGATGGGCTCGTTTAATGGGTTAAATACGTACGCTGCTGGTGAGTTTTTCCTTGGTGAAGGTGAAGGTGATGCGGATGTTGATGTGTGGTAGAGGCGATCCCCGAAAGACGGTCCGAGGTTATCAGTGGGAAGTATATCCTGCAGTATTTGTGTTCGGCCGGGAGCAGTGCGGCCGTTGTTCCCCTGGTCAAGGTTATCGGGGTGGGCTGGACCTTTACAATCTGTGAGTGACACTCCCTTCGAGGTTGCGATTCCAAGCTGAGCTGACTGATCGAAGGTGTGGTCTTTTCCCTACTCGGCGGAGGAATTGTGTTTTGTATCACGCGCTGGGGAAAAGCTATGCAGCTGTGGGCTGAGGAGAAGTTTCATTTAGATGGGAAGAGTGGGCTTTAGATTGCGCCGCGCTGCGCTGATTGACGAGTGATGACCGATAAACGATAGACGATAGAGTATATATCCATATATCATAGCTTGTTGCGCTGCCAACGTTGTGTACAGTTATAGGCCATGACTCGTATACATGCTCTCTGTGTCATTCATAAACGTGTCCACCGAATGCAACAGTCCCAAATCGAAATCCGACTGCGCAAGAAAGTCCTGCATTGTTGGCTCCAGAAAGGTCATTGCTGTTGGGAATCCCACTGCGGCGTTGTGAATCGAAATCCCAGGCGCTAGATTGCCATACCCATTGTACCCTGGGCCAGTGTTCTCCTCAAGCTCATTGTCCGCTCTCATAATCGACCCTGGTCCCGCCTGCAATCGATCCGTTTCATCTGTATGAGGTAGCGTTGGGCCGGCAGCCGAGGCCGGGATGTTTCCTGGCCCGAGAGCTTCGGCTCCGTTTACCCTCGTTTCCTTTCTGCGCCGTTCGTCCCCGTACCGTTCGAGGCAGTATTGGACTTGCTCGAGATTCCGGTAGAATTCCGAGGCCGCAAGATTGCCGTTCTCGCTCATGGATTGCAGCACTGTCAGACCGGTCTCAAAGGCGCCTAGGTCGTTGCGGCTGCCGATGGGCAGCAAGCTTGACATTGCAAGCACTAAAGAAGCCGAGAAGAGGTAGTGCGCGTGAAAATAGCCAAATACCGGAACGGAGCCGTTGATGTAGCGCGTGAGTATCAGGGAGTAACTGTGACGGGCTGCATGTATGCATGCTTCACCCAGAGTCCAGACGGGTTGCGAGATGGTATTGTCCTTGCTCGTGGGGGTGGCCTCAGACTCGCTGACTTTGATGAGGAGATGGAGCAGGGTCGGGCGGGTTGTAAGTATAACGCACTGTCCAAGTCAGTATTGTTCGGTTTGAGGAGCAAGCCAAATACCTGATTGAAAGCCAGGTGTAGAGAGCTGATATGTTTCGTGTTCATCTCAGGGTCGTTTTCGTTCAGTCGCAAATGGTCGGGTAGTGTATCTACCCAGTTCTTCAATGCTTTCAGTAGCTTCTGCACTCGCTGGAGAAACGTCTCGCTGTATTTGCGTCGGCTGTAGAGTTTTGCAATAGTCTCGCCGACAATTCGAGCGAGCTCTATATTGGCCGTCTGATAGTCCGGGTCCGTGAATTGCTCATCGTGCAACTGCGTCGGGCTTATCCTGGACGGCATGTCCACGTGGATATCATCATCAAGGATCTGGGAGGGCATTCCCATCTTTGATCCCCACATGCGATCAAAAATATAGATCGTCCACCAAATTCGTACTCGATGTTGGCGTTCGACAGGATCAATGAGCTGCGACTCGGGGATGTTGTGGTTCAACCCAATCTGCAGACTCAAGCGCATCGCGCTGCCGATCAACACGTACGCCGAGTGGCGTCGATTGAGATAGTACGAGAACAATGACTTGATGATCAGTTTTCTTCTTCAATCTGTGGGGAACCAGGGACAAACAAACCAACAACAAGAGCGTCTCCAAATGGGTAATGCTTGTTCTCTCTGGCAATACCTGGACCAAACTGAGAGCGCGCGCAAAATACGAAGTCCCTGGCACTCTCGACCCCGACAGAGGTTCTGTGCGGATGGAATAAGCTTCTCCAAAAGCGAAAAGAGCAAAGAATTTGCACTGGTTGACCTTGCAGTCAAAGTCACCCGTGCGATATATCTCCTCAAGCTTCTCCAAGGTCGATTTACGCAGTAGCATATGATAGAGACACCCAATCTGACGCAGCACGATCTTCACCAGAAGTCGAGCTTGCTGAAGGCTCGGCCACTGCACATACGCCTCGTTGGCCGCTGCGATATTCGCTTCCTTGACATACTGCATCCGAGGAATATGAGGGGTCTTGTTACTACCGGTCAGAAAACGACGGAAACGAGTAGCAAAAGCCGTGCAGGCTGCCTCGCCGATGAATATAGGCGGCGCGGATGGATCATAGGGGTGAAACCATGCACGATCACCGATCAATGGGTTACGGACACTAGTATTGCTCTCGTCTGGCTGCTCTGTGAGTCGTGATTCACTTGCTTCGGCATCATGAGTCGGTTCGGCCGAGTTTGCCGAAGTGCTGGACTGTTCCTTAAGACGTCGATTCTCCGAAATCAGACTTTCCAGATAGCTGTACACATAGTTAGCAATAAATCTTGCTCGTTCGAGAGTCATGGAAACCAGAATTGATTAAGGCATGTCCTTCTCATACCTTTCGCTCACTTTGACCTGGCGATCGCGTTGGGTATACGCGCACTCGTCTGCACAACCCACCATGCGGCATTTGGCGCATGGCTGCTCTCCAGAGCACTTGATCTTATGCGCGTGACACCGCTGGCAACTAATGGTCATCGCAAACGAGAGTTAGATGCCATACTTTGGCCAAGAGAGATAGTGACGCACGCAATGAACTTCCTCCGCTTGGAGGATTCATCTGTCTCCGCGCTGTGGGTGTTCTTCAGCCGGTTCATGGGTCATGACACTTCGATCGCTTGGATCGAAATCAATATATTCTCTTTGACAGCTTGACAGACCATGTGACAGCGCGTCCTTCAAAAGCTCTCAGCCGATTCTGAACCTGCTTGAGGCCGCTCGATGGTGGTGTGTCCGAAGTGCCAAGAACTCGGCTGCACTCGCCGAACTAAGTAGACCTACCTCTGACCAATCAGAACACAGCCAACCACACACACGATATGGAAGGTAACTTTCAGGTACTTTCAAGTGCGATATAAAAGAATGCGTTGACTCATATTGCTGCAGTTTCTTCTGAAAACAATCTATCCAGTTACTGTTACAGGATGATAAGGCCCTTGAAACCATCTTGAAGGGAAAGCACGCAAGAAAATGAAGTATAACTTAAGAGTGAAGCCCGCCACTTCGCATGAATTGAAGGAGGTTTGATGCCGGAGGGGTGCAAGATACCGCCTCGAGGACTTCTGTTTACTTCTGTTTGCAGTGAGTTTCAGCGGCTGGGTATAGGATTGACGATGGCAAAACGCTTATAGCAATTATCCTCATGTTGAACCTCAAGACTTGTTGGAAGTCCTGTGGGTCACACGGCAGAAGGTGCGTTGAAACGGTTCTAATGAGGAGTCCCGTAGGGCGCGTTATTCTGCATCACCATTGTCGGCCTTTAGCAGCCACTGTACATTCGTGGATATCCTCCTTCCGAGCAGCAGAGGCTGGCCATCCCGCACAAGGCCCAAATTCAAAATGATATCCCATTGCGCTAAGTTCGACAGATATCTCGACCGAGGAGGGAGAGAGCTGCATCGTTTGTGCTGGCAGGAAGATAAAAAAGATGTGCAATGGACGGTGCGGTCCAGGGAATTGGAAAGGGTGCGAAGGTATAGTTGTTGCAGGTGCAAGCCAGGGACAACAGGGAAGGATTCGACTGAAATCCGTTGGGTGAGGCAGTAGACACTGGATCCATGCCAGACATTGTCTGGAGAATTGTACGGGTTGATTCGGTACTTGCAACTGAGAACAGGCCTGACTGCTCCAAAACTATTCAGATTTCTCAAACCGCATTGGGATTCATTGCCCAGTATGCTTTATTGATGGTCGCAGTGCTTGAACACGTATCTCTTCCTGTTCTTCTTGTGGGGTTTCAAGTGCACCGAATGAGCTCCGCGGAATTCTCCGAGCATATTATGCCTACCAACAGTTCTGTAAGATCTTTTGTCTCCGTGACTTGAGTGATGCAAAAATGGATGTTGAGCCCGGACAATACCGTCGCGAGTCCATCTTTTCGAGGCTGACGAAGCATTCTTCGGCTGGGATGCAGTTTCGAACGAAACGGCCGGCTTGGTAGGTTGCAGTGCATGTTTTCGACGATTGGGCCTGTGGATGTACGAGCCGAAGGATAATGGGGATGCCACGGTCTACGATACATTGGATGTTGCCAACGAACATATGGAATACTGCCCTTGGATCAGCGGAAAGGCTCAAAGCGGGAGATTGCGAACTCCAATGCCTAAAATGACCAGCCCGTGCTCTGTCTTCAGATGCTTCAGTTAGTGGTACATTGTCAGGGTTACACCGGTTGCCTTCATTTCTTGGAAGCAGATAGATTCTCAGGGAAGCTTTGGCTGGTAGTACGCGTCATTTTAATCCTTACTGGCCCCGACGACGGGACAGACGGGTTAGACGGCATTGCATAGACGCGTCTCTTTGCTTCTGGACGTCAGCTGAGTACCACGTTAGTAAGTTCAAGCAGGCAATCAGTCGTCTTCTCATTATAGCCACACCGTTGACAACCGGACGAGGAGCAAGACGAGGAGGTCAGCACGACGATTTCTAGACCACCATCCAGCGAGAACGGGTGCTGAGAGCCACCCAACCTATCCTGTCTGGGAAAGAGCATATCTTTCGAAAGACATTCAAATTTGTGTCACCGAATGCTTAATGGGGGAGAAATAAAATGAGAGATTGAGAGACGCAGGTTGAGAGAGCGAGAGAAACTGGCCTGATTGGTACAGCAAGTAGGACAAGGCTTCGAAGGTGCCAGAGGGATAATCAAAACCAGGACGGCCAGGTGATTAGTAGAGCAGACAGGAGAATCCTATGGTTTTGAAGCAGAGAGCAGAGCGCACAGATTCCTTCTGAAGGTCACCTGATCAGCCACGACTACTTTGTAGTGAGTATTGTCATGCAGACTTTCTTTCTCTTTGGATAGGTACTTCCTAAATCGCAAGCGTCCCAGAGAATGACAATAATAAGATAGGCCTGGGGAAAATTCTGTTGGCCAACGTAGAGAGGGCAGGCCCACGTTAATCTTAGCATCGGTCGGATTTCTTCTCCAGTGCCAATTAGAGTGGAGAGACGGCTAGACAGGATCCTTCACCCTTCTCTTTCTTCCCGCTGGGTCGACGACGTGGCCGGGAAAGAGAATCACCAACCACTGATAGAAATAAAGGTCTTCCCTAATATTTCTTCTCTCATACTTTTTCCAAACTCACAGCATCATGCGGATTGGCAGGAACATGGGTCTGCTTCCTGCATCATCGATTAGCCTAGTCGACCACTCTGACATCATGATCGTATCAGAAAGTCGCTCGTCAACCATCGGTTCTCTTGATGCGTTCCTTTTTCGCTTAGAAACGTCTCCTACAGTGTCCCTTGTCCCTTGTCCCTTGTGCCATTCTGCCATTGGATACGGACAATCTCCGCAATGATTGATCGGAGGGATCATCACTGGCGGATCCCCTCATCGTGCCACTGGGGTTGTGGCTGAGGAAGTGGCACCAGCAGCCAGTCATGACTGCGAAAGCCTTACGATCATACTTGAAGCCGAGTTATGGTTGAAATTCGATGAAATCGATGATCAGCACCGATGATTTCCCATGCCACACGGCTGTCCCTGAGTTTAGAAGACAGAACTGGTCAGCACAACTCCGAGAATGCGCCAGTCTGAGAATTTGAACTTTAAGCGACAAGAGTCGAAGGCCAAATTTGGCCAGGAGAATCCATTTTGCTAACGGGCATTGTTGATCCGTAGTCTGCTCATTGAAGCGGGCTTGCAAGTCTGTTGACAATCATGCCTTCTTGAGTGCGGCTCAACCGCCAAAGGGAAAGGGGCATGGTCGCATTGTTCCTCCCAATCATGCCTTTCGTACCTCGTCAAACTGCCCATAATGGGTACCCATCTCGATAAAGTCACTTCGCTGGTCAATTCGCCTTTCGCTTGTCAATCCACTGCGGTCGTGTCACAAACTCGCAAGCGCTAAAGGAGAGCGATGTAGATTGACCCACTGTCGGGCAGCATGCATATCTTATCCGTTGACACCATTTTTCAGCCGGCTGTAATTCCGACACATCGTGGATCATGTTGTTGTGGTCGCCGATTCCGCAATATCGCCCGTTCCTCAATCCCGGATTCACATCCGCGCGTATCTGGTCGACCCTCGATTCTCGATCGTCCATCTATCCTGGGTTGTGCGCTATAATCGTCAATCTCATGGCTGGAAGAGAAGTATTTCAGAGAAGAAACGACCAAAAGAAGACTACCGACCAGTTCTGTGATTGCTTCCCGCTAGAGCGAGACGTATAACCGTCACCGAGAAAGATGGCCCTGCTTGATCGCTGTGAGCTACATAGTGATGGCAACTCAGTATCTCGGTATCTTCTGGCGCCCCTGCAAGCTTCCGAAAGGAACCTCATCTGGCGCAGAGGGAAGCAGTTGATTTAGTGACAAGATCATCGTGGCAGACAGAAGATTGTGCTGGTCGCATCAAAAACGCACTCGGATTTAAGCACCCCTCGACTAAACGAATCTATATCACTTTGTATTGGCATTGCTGCGGGCGGTTTCGATAGACAGAGACAAACGACAGACTCTATCTCGTCCGATTCATAATCTCGTTTCCATTAGTTGAGGGTGACCACTCTGTCTTTCGTCTCATTTGCTTCATCACGAATGGCACTCTTATAAGCATGATTTCCAACGTTTGAGCTCCCCTATCGCTCGTCCTGCATCTAACACTTCTCGATAAATGTGTTGAAGGAGAGGTCAAGCGGAATTCGAATTTCGACAATATCGCGAGGGCTAAAGGGGCATGATGTCCTAGGGTTCGCGTTGTCAGTATGGGCTAAGGCCTGGAATGAGTCAACAATTTCGCAAACCAACTGTGGTCATTTACTCCAGGTAAACATCAGCATCTTTTCCCTGGAACGATAGTAGCAACCAATCGCTTCATAGCCCCTGAGAGATATTATTCAGGACCGCGCTGGAAAGGTTCCGCTTTCAGGCCCAGTTGATGAGAAGTCGATGAGACAGCGTCTTCTTGCGCTGTGCTCGAGAATTTCGGCGGTTCTCTCTCGAAAATTTCCCCAACTTCTACTCAAGTTCGATTCTCGTGACACCTTGCCATGCAACTTTTGCAGAGAGTCTGTAGTCGTTTGTCTGTATGGCACCCCAGCTAACTCGAAGTGTGTAACGCTACACTCATCGATTCACTCGTGGCCTTCGTCAGTCGTTCGAGTATATCGAGATAAACCATCAAACTGCAAGTGTAATCAGTTCCGGAGAATGGCCAGTGATATACCCCATCCTGAAAAAATGTGCCAGCGAGCCTGCATTGGGCTATTTGGCACATGTGCATTCAATGCAACACGAAGCTGTGTCATGATGATCGCTTTTCTCCATGACAAGAGTTTTATTGATCAATCAGGAACATGAGCGGTATCCATAATTGACCAGATCATGAAGATCATCAGATAATGTGAACGAATTGGCGGCAAACCATGGATCAGCAGGGTGACCGAAAAGGGCAACGGAAGGAAACGAGTTTAAAAATTTCCTCCCGGATGTTCTTCGACCCCCTTCTTATTTTTTTTTTTTTACTATTTCTTGCGTTCTGGATCTCTGGGAGCCTTTCGTCTTGGTCAAATCGCCTAGGGATACTCTTGTTGTGTACAATGGCAGGTTGAGGGTGGTTCCGAGCCGACTCCCGCCCGCCCTGTGGCGCAAAAAGGACCACGGCAGTGAGCTCCAGCCTACCACGATCAATCTTTCAGCAGCCTTGGATGTCTCAGCCGGTTTCCAAAAGCTCTGTCCTTCTCGTCTGCTGGGAATCGAACATATTATTATTATTACGGCTTTGAGATCTCTTCTCCGTTGCCGTGGCCAGTATATTCCCTAGCTCCACACCTGCTCTGGGCTAGCGCGTGTTCACAAACCACGTCGCCTGTTATTGAAGGTTGGGCGAAGGGGGGCTGTTCAGGTAGCTTTCTCATCCTTGAGAATATGACGGACCCTAATCGTCCTCCTTTTTTCTCCTATGGATCCTACCCATCTTCATCAGATTTCCAGGAGAATGAGCCTGCATACAGTGACTGGACACCATCTCAGTTTCCACAGGCACAATTTGGGCCTCAGATCAATTATGAACCTATCCCTAGCTATGTCGAGAACCCCGCAGGCCCCCGTGTCGGCACTGGGGAAAGATCTTTGAACTCAAAGGTTGCCATACCGCGGTCAGCAAACCCCAGTAGTTGGACCAGCAGCGGGCGAGTCAGCCGGGCCTGCGAAAATTGTCGTGAGCAGAAAGCCAAGTGTAGCGGCCATCGCCCGACCTGTCAAAGATGCCAGGAGTCGGGGATCCGTTGCTCCTATGGTGACCGGAAGCGAGAGAAGATGGCCAAGTGCGTTTTAATCATTCTCTTTGTACTGAGAAGATTCTGACAGTGGGTTATAGGCAGCTCAGTGAGCTGACAAACCAGGTTCAAGTCTACGAGGCTTTATTGCGCGATATTTATCCAAAGCTGGAACCCCAGTCTGCGCAATATGTTGAGCAGGTCCTGAACGAAGTCAGAACATCCCATTGCGCTGCCATGTTTCTTCGGGACTGACCGATATCACAGCAAAACCCCGACAACGACCAATTCTCTGGTCAACAAACTGCAACGCCATCTCCAGCTCTTAAATTATCTGATGCTGCTCGCGTCTCAAGCCCTGCCGCTTCTACTCCGGTCTTCTCGCTGGGAGCTTTAGATTACACCAGCGAAGATTTCAACCGTGATGAGAGAATTCAAGCCATGGGCTTCGTTGGCGAACATTCTGAGATTGCCTGGATCTACAGATTGAAAAGGCTGCTTGAGCAGATCTCTGTTGGGTCTAAAGATGATTCAGATCGTCAGTCAGTTGCTTCGTCGAACTTTTTCCTTGATGATTCGGATATTACTGTACTGGATGATATCGATCTCTCGCAACGTCCCTCGCAAACAGTTGCTGATCAGCTCGTGGACGAGTATTTCCAAGTTGTACACCCTTCCTTTCCGATTATCGGCAAACTTGTTTTTTTGAGACAGTACAGGTCGTTCTACTCCAGTCCTCACGTACGCCCAGGGAAGAGATGGCTCGCAGTACTCAATCTGGTTTTCGCTATCGGCGCAAGATGTTTTCGCTATTCGCAGGGGACCAACGGGGGTGTGACAGACGATGAAACCCTATACTTTTCGCGAGCATGGCGACTGAGCATGAGCGACATTGCTCTGCTGGATCATCCAAACCTTCAGCAGGTACAGGTGGAAGGTTTGACTTCATTCTATCTGCTATCTGTTGGACAGGTGAACCGGTAAGTGTTCCGTGCTACGACGTCAATTTCGAGTTCAAGCCTGACCGTAAGCCTCCTCACAATATCTAGGTCTTGGAGAATATGTGGCATTTCCTTACGTTCCGCTGTTACGATGGGATTGAACCTTCGGAGTGAGAGTAATACAATTGCTCATGTATCTAAGGAGACTCGTTATCGAGTCTGGTGGTCCCTTTTCATGTTGGATATCTCACTGTGTGTGATGACTGGCCGCCCACCGAGCAGTAACGATGAATTTCGCACTACTCCTCCACCGATACCTTTCAAAGAGGAAGATTTTTCTGATGATCGAGTGGTTCAACTGATTGCTGATCACGAGGCGCGAGGCCTATTCATGGAAGCTTTGGGCAAGACAACGGCAACGGCAACGGCGGACACGGCATTGACACCGGAGATATCTGACCACAACCTGTTCAACGCGAATAGAGAATGTGAGCAAGTTGCGTCCAGTGCCATTGAATCACTAACACCGAATATCTCGCTCTACTTTCTCCACAATGTCGAGTTAGGATTGATACTTCGAGAGGCTGTGGACACTCTGTATGCTCCAGGAGTCGCTCGAAAACCTTGGCGTGACATTGAACTAGCCGTCGCTGCACTCAATTCCAAGGCAGACGTTTGGCTGTCCAGGCTTCCGCCTGCATTTCACTTCGAGACAGGCGCCCGTGTATTCGAGCGGCAGAGGTTGAACTTGGCACTTCGCTTTTACAGCACCAAGATCATTATAGCCCAACCCTGTCTTAGCCGCCTCACTCGACAGGCTCCGGGGTCAGAGCCACCCGGAGTTGCGTGCGAGACAATGGCGACCATGTGTGTCGATTTTGCGGGGCAGATGCTCGATCTTCTTCCTACGATACCCGATCCTTCCTGGGTTTACCGTGTCTCTCCCTGGTGGTGTTTTTTGCACTATCTGATGCAGTCAACCTCCGTCCTTCTAACTCAACTATTACTTTTGTCAGAAGCGGGCACCGTCAGGTACAACCAACTGCTAGAGCAAGTTTCCAAAGCGGCTCGCTGGTTATCGAAAATGTCGACAAACGATCCATCTTCTGCAAGAGCGTGGCTCGTTTGCAGGGATCTCATCTCTCAACATGCCCCAGAGCTTGACCTTGGAACCTTTTCAGAGCACCACAGAAATTAACCATATAGCAATCGTGATCCAGCATTGTGTGCATTTATACACGTGAGCCGCAGCTGACTCGTTGCAGTCATTCGTTATGTTAAGGCGTCTGCGCATAAAGGCATCCATCTGAGCACAGACCACCTGCCTTCCTTTATCTCGACAGGGACAATCCATTCCCTGGAGCATCGGGCCTCTGCAATAGACATCGTTCTTTGTCAGTCCCCGAATAATGCAGGGATGGTCGTGCAATGAATATCATGCGGAATGACCGACCCGTTTAGATTCGGGCGTTTACCAAGCCTCGCCTCGCGAAAGATACGTACCACTACTCCTATAGAACTATGGTGTCAACTTTCAATAGATTACGATCTTTCCCGATCTCTTCGGTATTCGATGGTATGACGAGGAGCCTCCGCTTATCGTATGCGCTAAAACGCCTAGAAGGCCAGTGCAACTACGGAGTACTGAAGGGGGAATTTGTCCGCCGATGGGGCCACAGTTTCCCTCTCCGCTCTTCCCAACGAACGTGTCCAAAGCCTTATCCAGTTCAGTGAGGTCATTGTTTATTATTAACGTGACACACGGCTTGATGCTGCAGAGACTTTCACTAAGATGATGTGGCTGATTGTCGAAACAAATTGAGCTTAGAACGCAAGGTTACGGATACAATCCTTTAACAACCGCTGCCAATGACGAATGGAGACATTTCTTACTTCTTTTCCCGCCGTTTACTATTATAGCTCTTTCCCCCCTCACTTCTCTTCTCAATACCTCCGGATTTCTCGTTGCTTCTTCAGTTGGGCTTTGTTGTCTCGCTAAGCTCGCGTCATGCCTGCCGCAGCCCCCTGCACTCCGATAGGTGTAGGCATTTGAGAAAACGACATGTCGACTTGATTCGTACCAGAATTACACTTCCCACTAACCTTTGGTGCACCAAAGGATTTCACCCTTGCCTACCCACGTAATGGAGCGGTCTATGCCGTATCATGTTGGGGAACAACGTCATCATACAGCCACATTACAGCCTTTGAAATCTTTGGCGCATTATTGTTTCTCATTTTCCTTTTCCTATTAATTGGGAGGACCCAGCGAGATGGGACGAGAATCAAAAGCAGTAAGACGCCGAGCAACCTAAGCAACCAATTCCTTACATTGATAGTGGACCTGTCCCACTGATCCGTCTCCTGCCATTTGCTGGGAGAGAGATCCGTGGCAGCGGTAAGGTCCTGCTAGCCCGATAGTTTATTAGCCAGGTCCCCAAAAACTGCCGCCCGCCCGCCAATTTGCTACTTGTCATTGACCAGCAGCTCCATGGGTCGAGAGTAAGTGGACAACCCTTTTTGTATGATAAAATCTCCTTTCCAACTGGCCTATCCGACACGAGCCGGCCCCATTTTTGGTTTAAAAAAAAAAAAAAAGAAAAAAGTCCCTCTCCGTGGACTAACTTTCGAGATTGTATGGCGAGTACGATCAATTTGTCCAGTTCGGCGCACACTAGTATCTATACGGTGAGTGCCACGGGGAGAAGAAGGAAGGTGCTTTCGCACGCCAGCTGCAAGTTGTCGTCATAGGCGCGGCGCTTCTCATGCTGATTGGAGCTCATTTCCAAGCTTACCTCCATGGCTCCAAGGGTTCGAAAACTACTCCGTAGGTACAGGCTCACGACCTTTTTTGAGGCAATATCTGCGTGAGACTAAGGGGACTGCCTAGGTAATGTTCTAGCCTCTAGGGACTCAGAGTGACTCTCCCTGGGTCACGAGGTAGATACCTGGCGTACAATCGTCTACTACTAGGTGTAATGAGAAACACTGAAAGACTATCTTGCAGGCACTGACCAGTCATTCAGCCCTTGTTGCCAAAATATGGACCACTCGACCGGACCTCATCCAGGCAAAGTGGTTTGCCTGATAGTGATGACTGGCGAATGGCATCAGGAGCTCCGTTGATGGTCCAGCAATTTCCAAGACATTGCCTGACGGTATATCGACGGACAGGCTGCTTCACATTCTCCTGGATCTTTGACAAATACATCCAATTAGAGGAGGCCAGAATGAGAAATAGCGCCCAGTCTTGAAAATTGGAGGCAGAAGGGGTCGTTTTTGTTCCGGGGATCTCCGGATCTACCATACATCTAGGGAGGTATCTATTTGTTATTTAATTATGATGATGATTTGTTTATTTTCTGCATACATCGATAGTTACACCAACTTACGGTATGAGATAGTCTTTTGCTGCATCGGGTATTTGTCTCGTAATCATTGCCTTAACTGCTCTATCGTTGGAGGCACTTTCCCTGTTTGGTAATCACGTCCTTTCCCCCTTTCCCTTTTCGGTGTCTGGGCTGCAACAACTCCTCTTAAGAGGTAATTAGGTTTTGTTTACTAAATTGCATCTGGACTTGAGAATATGGCTATCATACGGAGTACTGGTGGAAATCCCACGTAATATGCAAGGATGCCTTATTCATATGCGAAAGCCCTCCACTTGCAGACTTGCAATTATTGTTTGTTGACCTTGAGCTGGGCACCGCGGTCCCGTGCCTTCCCAGTAGCAATCCCGGCATTACAGTTGAAGTCTGAAGAATTACCCCGACGCTTAAAAGGCTTTTACTCCTGTATGAGGGACAAGCCCCGAGTACCAAAAACTGGCTTCGATTGCCGAGGATGAAGACTGCTCGGGTCCCAGTATTGCTCAGCGAAATGGTTGAGATCGTCCTGGTCAAGGCTGAGAGTCCCAACACCACCAGTGGTACAGAGTTAGACGGTCGGCAGTCTTGTACATTAGATAGTCGCCTGTAACTACTATCTAGATAGATGATGGCGGGCAAATTTGAAGATTAGCTACTAAGGTACCCTAGTGGAATGCTTTCGCTCCATGTGAGGCAACCACACTAGTCAGTAGTCACATTGCAGTTGGCGCGCTAAAAGAGGATTCATATCTAGACGAGACCAGCCTGTGGTTACGTCACTCTTGACCGCTTCTGCAGCCCTGCAGAAGATTTTCGAGCCATGATTAGTCTCAGCTCATGGCTAGAACCTGGGACCATCTTCCATTAATTTCCTTACAGATGTGATGCCTCAGGCAAATTATCATATGCCCGGTCACGTGGTGCGCACAGGTGACTATCTGCCTCAGGCATAAATTATGCTCAAGCATCACATGACAATCATAGCGAAGGAGACGGCTCTTGGCACTGCGGGTATCCACTTCTGGGGATCAGATCATGAAATGATAACATCTAACTGACCGACCTGGCTTACCAATGCAAGGTTCATTGTCTATCATTGACAACACGTGACATTGATGAAGTGAAATGACATCCACATCGTGAATGTAGAGAATGGCTCTACGTGGGCCGATGAAGCGCTCCCACCTGAGACAGGTGAGCGCGTCCAGTGTAGACACCCTTTCTATCCCTCAGTCGCAGTCGCCCAAGGCTCTCTACAATGAGGAGCACAGCCATCAAGACGTCCACGCAACGCCGGACGAGAGAATCATCCGGCTGTCCTCGGCCAGCCTAGAACGCCGACAATGCTCTCTCTGGGTCCACGATGAGACTTTCTCCCGAGAGGAGATCCTCTTCAACCAGGCGGCGTTCAGCGACCTGGGTGTGAATGTCGGCGATGTCATCGAGATTCTACCCGTCCGGTCACCGGGGGACTCCATACACAGCATCAAATCCGATCTGGGGGCTCGGTCGCTCCGCGACAGCTATCTGGAGTCGAGCTCGACACTCCTCCCGGATCCCATGTCAAAGTTCAAGACGCCTTTGCAGAGCAGGTGTCTGTTCGTGGTGAAGCCTCTCCCGCAGGAGATCAAGGCCCGTCATCCGAAGCTCGAGATATCGTTGACCCATAGCGTCGCCAATATCTTTGGGTTCAAGAATCGCACCCTGGTCAATGTTTCCGTTGTCGATCGGGGGCAGTGCTCCGCTTCTCACGTCGATGTCGCCTTTCGCGACCAGTTCCTGGTGCGATCCGATATGTGGAGACTTGTGATGTCCGAACTCTCTGAGAAGATTATCTACAAGGGCCAGAAGATCGTCTTCATGGGGAGCATCAAAGCTACCGTGAAGAATATCTTCATCCGTGGCAAAAAAGTTCTCTCTGGCTACTTCTCGTCGCATACCATCCCTGTCTTCCGGAGTGAGTCAGCCAAGTATGTTCTATTTATCCAGATGTCGCGAGAGATGTGGGATTTCGACTCCGAGGGAACAGGCGACATCCTTTTTAGTCGAGTGATTAATGGTTTCCTGCCGGAGCTCTTCAAGCGTTGGGCCAACTCGGATGCGAAACATCTTGTTACGATCGTGCTATTTACGAGGGTGGAATACGATTCTTCGTCCCTTGGAGGTCCCTTGCCGCTTAGTTCCGAATCGCTGAGGTGCATCTCGAGCCCCAACCATGTTCCGACCCGGGACTTTTACCGGGTCGTGGTCAATGATATGGCAAGTGGTCATTGGACGACGATTCTCGATGAGCTGAAGAAGGATTTCCGGACTTTTTTGAGAGATGTCTCGGTCCTAAAGATGGACAGCCCGGATACACCTACTGTGGATGGGGTCAAGGTTGCTCCTAAGAACAAGCCGGCCATCATCGCAGGGCGACCAAGTACCGCGCTGCGTGGGAATATTCTTGAAGCGATCCATCTTGCTTCTGCCCACCTTGCGTACGACCATATTGATCGTGATTTGGTCCATACAGGCACCTCGATCATCGTCATAACTCCAGGAAGCGGCGTCTTCGAAGTGTCTTATGAATCTTTATCCTCTACCTCGGAAGCACTCGCGGACCGTGGCATTGCAATTGATCTGGTCTGCCTGAGCCCCATGCCTCTGCACTCCGTGCCGCTGTTCAAGTACAAAGCGCCTGTGGAGAGATCCGGTAGCTCTTCGTTTGGCGACTTTCACAGCAGCGGTTATTCACCTGAGATGCGCCAGTCGTTCAGCTTTGCGAGTCGAACTCCCCATCTATCACCCAAATCTACCATGCAAGGCTCGTTTCCGGGAATGACACACA